TATTCAAACTGTTTGATTCTCTAATCTGTGTTAGCAAATTCAACAATTCTGTAAAGGCCTCTGAGATAACTTCTGTCTTGATTGAGGGCTACACAAGAACACATTGAATTGAATGACAAAGGATTGCCACAACTACAGATTTGGGAACACCGACATAGACGCGATGAGGGCGGCACGGTGACTGAGTGGATAGCACAGGGTCTTTCTGAGTTTGCATATTCTCCCCGCGCCTGTGTAGGTTTCCTCCAGGTGCCCCGGTTTCCCCTACCACTAAATACATGCACAATAAGTATATACTTCCAGCTCTGGTCCTGACAAAGCCGAGCATCAACACCTGGAGATGCAGTGTAGGTCCCCGGGCGCTGTTACTATGGCAACCACTGCTCCTGACAGACGCCCTAGTGGCATCAGGATGGGTCAAATGCAGAGGAGAAATAGCCGGGGATAAATTAATAAATTACTGCTTTTTTACTTGATTATTTAGTGTAATGAGTGAATTCAGCGACTGCAGTGTGCGTCTGCGTGGATCTGTCACTGTGGGAGAATGAAAGTGAGCGATGGTGCTTATAAACAGTCCATTTACTCACAGTCTTTGGGTTAAAGGTGTTTTTCGTCCCATGGGAAATTTGTCCGCTGCATGATTTGGTCCATCCTTCAATGTTGTCGGACGGAAAGTGACCGGGTCCAGTGAGTGACCAGCAGCTCACCTGGACACCTCTCATGTACGTGCTTGATCTAAAGAGCAGGGCCAGCTATTTTTATCCAAAAGAACAAAAAAACTATTTCCACCCCACTTTTAACACTGGGACTCCCACAAACATGGAATTACCACAACTCCCAGAGCTGTCAATTTGATTATAAGAAATTTCCCCACTAAAAAAACTTTCCTCCAGATATATTACTGATTTTAAACATTTATTTTTCATCCGTTTTGAAATGGGTAATGATAACTTGAAATAGAGAAAGAAGTGTTTGTTGCAAGAGTAAATGTAACTGTTGACAGGAGCGTGTCGCTTTTCTCTGGTGGAAAACCAGAAAGAACCAGAACCTTTTTCTGGGCTTTAACCGCCACAGAACATTTTAATTTTAGATTAAGATGAATTAGTTAAAAATGAAACTCCTCGCATAGAAAAATAGATCATTTCTGTTTGATAATGACATAGAAATAAACTGCAAATAGGAAAAGAACAAGTCACAAAGTTAGGAGGACAAACATTATTCTTCCAAAACTAAAAGCTGTCAAAATAACTGCTCAGGGAGTTCCAGTGTTGACCACACATTGATCTGGGACAGTTTTTTTCCTTTCCAGTTTTTTCATCATAGTTAAGACAAGATACTCCTTTAGCCTTACTTTTGAATGAACTGGAAACGGCGAAGTCCTCAGTGTCTCTGAAACAGTTGAATTGTGCTTTTGAATTTAAATTTGTTTTGCTTTTTTCTACTTGAGATGTTGCTGCAGTACAGTGTTGATGGTTTTACACTGGTCCAGACCAGAGCAGAGAGGATTCATGGTCCGGACCAAGTGGATCAGGCAAAAATCCACTGGAGGAATGCTAACTTTTTGAAAAAAGCTAACAAGGCAACGTTTTACTTTGGACTAGAGCAGAGAAAAATGGTCCACACCAAGCGGCTACTCCACCTTGTGACCTGCTCCACCCAGAGGCTACTCCACCTCTGCTGCTGTGACCCGTCCTGCTCCACCCAGAGGCTACTCCACCTCTGCTGCTGTGACCTGTCCTGCTCCACCCAGAGGCTACTCCACCTCTGCTGCTGTGACCTGTCCTGCTCCACCCAGAGGCTACTCCACCTCTGCTGCTGTGACCTGTCCTGCTCCACCCAGAGGCTACTCCACCTCTGCTTCTGTGACCCGTCCTGCTCCACCCAGAGGCTACTCCACCTCTGCTTCTGTGACCCGTCCTGCTCCACCCAGAGGCTACTCCACCTCTGCTTCTGTGACCTGAAGGCCTCTTGCTGAATATTACTATTTTTAACTTATTAGAATTATCTTCTTTTTTTTTTTTTTTTGCTACTGGACACCTGAATTTCTCCTACGGGGATCAATAAAGTATCTATCTATCTGTTGTCTTCCATATGAGTAATCAAACTGTTAGACTGTTAAATTCAGAGTAGACTGAACAAAAGAAAGCTGGAGACAACTTCCTTAATAAATTCCTTATTATTGTATAATCATTAAGAGAGCACATTCAGAAAGCTCATTTGAAATAATAATAATATGTTCAGAAAATGTTTAAAATATCAAAGGTTGGGCCCGGGAGCCAAATTCAGTAAAAGTAAAAATATATCTCTAAAAATGTAACCTGAATGTGTAAGAGCCGTTGGCTTACGACGACATTGTGGTAATAGTTCTGATCTTGTGACGCATTTTGACAATCCTGACGATCCAGAAAATCGACGTGGGTGTGGGTGGCCCAGCTGCATTTTTACACTATTACATAAAGCAAATGAGCGTGAAAGTATTCAGAGTATTCAGAGTATTCAGAGTCCAGGACGTAGTAGAAAAACTCTCACTTGCAATTCAATTTGGAGAGACGAGAAAACAGGAAGTGTTGAGTATTTTATTGGGAGGAGGTTTGGCGCCCTAGGTCCCGGTGCGGCCTTCAGATCGGAAAGGCTCCTGCGATGGAGCGCGCACAATACCCCGGGACCTAGGCACTGGTGGCGGCATTTGGCAGCGGGAAGCAGATTGAAGGCAGATTGGAGGCAGGGTGAAGAGGAGGAGGAGGGGAGGCGGTGGTTGCAAGGCTTCAGAGGCCGAGAGTGGGAGTTTCTCCGTTTTTATGCGGCTGCGAGTCGGTACAGATGATTGGAAGGGGGCGTCTGCTGAGCGATAGGCTGGGGATGCGAGCCGGCCTGGAGGGGGTAATTTTGGTTAACGTCTACCAAATTGAATTTTCGCTGGCTGCATATGTGTGATTTTATTTACAGTGGTGGCAACGGCTGGGAAGCTCGGCCTTTGTCTGGCAAATTCACGGGTTGGCAAGAAGATAGATAGATAGATGTATGGATGGATGGATGGATGAATAGATAGATCCAGACCAGGTGCTGAAGAGCAGTGGTACTTCTGGTTACCCCTCTCCTGGTGCCTGTAGCTGGGAGGCTTCTTGCTCCACTGGTGTCTGGAGCTGACATGTGGTCTACCTTGGTTCTTGGTTCGGCCCATAACTTTTACTCTGGTTCAGTGTACGACCCTAAAGCTGTGTTAGCATGCTAGCGCTTTTATATAAAATATACAGTCGTAACAAAGCAGAAGTTTTATTTATTTTATTGGGACAGTATGTTAATGAACACATCACTCCGGATTGTAACCGTGTAAATGTGTACTTTATTGTGCCCGTAGGGAAATTTGACCTCTATATTTGACCCATCCTGATGCCACTAGTCAGGAGCAGTGGTCACTGTGGTACAGCGGCCGGGAACCCACCTCCAGATGTTGATGCTAGGCTTGGTCAGGACCGGAGCTGGAGGATTGTACCTAGTGAGCATATTTTTTGTGGTAGGGGAAACCAGAGTACCCAGAGGAAACCTACGCAGACACGGGGAGAACATGCAAACTCAACTCAGAAAGGCACTGTTCCGACCGGGATTCGAACCCAGGACCTTCGTGCTGAGAGGCGAGAGTGCTATCCACTCAGCCACCGTGCTGGATAGCGTACAAATTCACCATGAACTATTTCACATGTTTTTAGTGGTAGGGAAAACCGGAGTACCCGGAGGAAACCTACGCAGACACGGGGAGAACATGCAAGCCACCGTGTCGCCTATGAGTAAAGGGCTGGGATGAATAACATGTGAAAGCAGAAACAATCAAGCTTCTAGTGCTGCATGACTGATATCGCGGTCCACCTTTTGCAGATATTTATGTTATTATTATGTTATTTGTGCTGGTTTTGTTGTGTGCTTCTCATGCAGCATGTGTAAACTTCAACAATATCATATAAAATCATCATTGCTGCTAGTAGAGCAAGAAGTTCTTTTTAAAGTCAGAAGAAAATGGTCGTGTCTTGTGTGAACCATAGTAATCAGTTCAGACGATTACCGCTGTCTTCTCGTATTCCCGTATATTTACAGTGCATGCAACGCTTTTTACAGCTACAGCAGCACTCAGACCTACAACGAATAGGTTTGATATCTTCTCACCCGCACTTCCGCAGTCGTTAGTTCTGGTGGCGAATGTGTGGCGTGCGGTGTTACAGCCTGACAACATATAGCTGCTACTTCAAGGATGCTGTTATTTTTAGAACGACCGGATTGCTCACACATGCATGACACTGGAACTCCCAGAGCAGTCAATTTGGTGGCTTTTCATTTTGGAAGTAAGTAATGTTTTTTTTATATATAGCGCAATTTACAGACCAACCAGAAGGTCAAGCAAAGAGCTTTATAATGTTTTTCCCTTTCAGCGTTTTTTGATCGTCAAAACGTTGTGACTTTTTCTGTGTCTATTTGTAGATTATTTCTAGATGTCATTTGGTTTAGGAAAATAGCTCAATCCTAAACTGGTCCTAGACTGGTTCTCAGCTTGGAGCAAGTGCTAGTTACCATAGAAACACACAGTTTACTTGCATAACTTTGCATTTAGTTTTGCTTTCATATATTTTAACATGTTTAAGCTAAAACTCGTATGAATTACTTAAAGGTATAGGAGGATTTTCACAAATTTTAGGAAAGAATATCCCTCTCAAATTCTCTGGTCTTATTTGACGAGCACCTATCATCCTGATTGACATATGGGAGGACCAATAGTCTTGATGATCCACCCGGAAGTCGAAAATCCTGGCCATGATCAACACCAGAATTTTAAAAAGGATTCTCTGAGTGACAGGGAGCCATTATAACATAAAGTAGAACAAAACCCCGCGATAAACCAGTGACCATTGTACACGGGATTGCTTACACATGCACAAATTATAGAAAAAATAAAAATAGATAAGAAGAAAAAACACACAATATTTCTCCTTTAATTTTCCCGGAGACTGTGGATGGAGGAGGCAGCGCAGGCCGTGTCCTCCATGCACCGCTGCAACGTCACGGGGGTCACGCAGAGGATGAGAGAGAGTGGCGTTTGTTTTGACGATGACATCACTCGTGCGGACCAGCGGCTCGCGTGCTCGCTGCGTTTGGAGAATGACCTACTTCCTGTCCGCTCAGTGGAGTGAAAAACATGCTGCGTGTAAACAGTGACTTCATAAAGCCCTGGTTGTTATCGCACGCTCATGTGTTCAGGCGCCGCTGTTGTAGTGGTTGGAGAGAAGCTGGAGCACGAGAAACGACAACGACTTGTTAAATGTACACACTGCAAAAACTGATCAAATAGGAGGGAATAATCCAAGGATCGAGTGGATTTTTATCTTAATCTGAGCACATTCTGACTGTGTTAAAACCAGATTCTCCAATGGGACAAAGCCATTTAGTCTAATTTTCTCATTCCAAGGGAGACATTTCTTATATCTTTCTAAAACAATATAATGCTTTGTCCCAATGGTAAATCTTGTTTTAAGGCAGTCAGAATGTTCAAATGAAGATACATTGAGCCAAATTTGAGCTATTTGTTTTCATTTTTAATTTGCCAAAATTTTTGCAGCGCAGTGGCAAGAAAAATTATCCTAAATGTTTTTTGTTTTTTGTTTTTTAAGAATTATTATTATTATTTTGAATACGGGACACATCCGGGTATTGCACACATCCCATTATTGCACACATCCCGTTATTGCACACACCCAGGTATTGCACACATCCCGTTATAGAACACAACCCGTGATTGCACACATCCTGTTATTGCAAACGTCACGTTTTTGCACACATCCCGTTATTGCACACATCCAGGTATTGCACACGTCCTTGCATTACAATCGACCATGTAATTACATGTCTGTAATTACGCACATTTCTGCATAGATTTATCATCAAATCTGATCTTTCTCAAAATCACAATAAGACTAAAATAATGAAGAGAAACTAGAACCAGCCAAACATTTATAGATAATCTTATTATTATGAGGATCACATGCAAGTCTCCTTCTGCCTAAAAAGACTAAACATGCTAAATCAGAATAAAAAAATCACAGTAATAGTTTCAATGTTACAAACTCCTGTACAGTAACGTCAATCTATTGAGTAAATATGAAAAAATATGCTCATGAAATCTGTAGAGCTTTTCTGGACATTCAAAGACACTTACAGCAGTATTCATACACTTTATATAGTGCCCGTCTGTAGGAGTGATCCCTCTCTCAATGTGGGCCTCCCAAAGGTTTCTCACTTTTTCCCACTGGGTTTTCCCAATGTGTTTGTTTTTATTGCATTTACTATGTCTGAATTTTTTGATTAATCTGTTGCTGGCAAATCAACAACATGACTTATTGGGCTATAAATACACTGAATTGAGTTGACTACAGTATATTGCAGGATCATGTTATTGCGGTGACTTCGGTCCAGACCACGGAGCCACCACTGACCTCGGCCTGAGAGAGCCTGAGTTTGTCACCAAGAGTGTGTCACCGAGTTTGTCCCACACTGACCCCAATGTCCAACGGATGTGATTTAACGACCGTGTTGGCCGGAGCCTGCCTCAGCTTTCTCTTTTCCTTCCACAGCGTTGTGCAGAGCCTAAACCCAAGACTAAAAATTGAAAACAGACAGATTTTACAAGCTTTATACGACTGTTCTTATTCAGCCATGTTTTAGTGTAAATCGCCTTTTTGCCTGAACCTTTTTCTTTTTTTTTATGCAGCTATTTCTTGTTGGATATTGGCCAGATCGCTAAGACCATTGCATGCATACATTGATACACACATTACCAAACACACACACACACACACACACACAGACACACACAATGCCTTGAAAAGCATTGTACATATGTGTGTGTCAAAACAGCCCAAAGCATATAGCTACTATTTTACTAATTGCTGGTTATTTTAGAACGTAAGCTCCCGTCTCAAAACCGTTTGCTTCTACCTCCTGTTTTCACATACATTTTTGACCCCTGTCACAACGTTTTTCAAATAGAACACTAAAACCACCCTCATTCAATCAGCTCTCAGGTCAGGGCTCTTTCTCACACCTATTCTCAAAAGATAAAATGTTTTCTAAAAGGGTAAAGACAGTGAGGTCTGGTTTGTTCATATTGTTTTACTTTCTGTTTCCTTCTGATGGCACAAACAAAATGTATTATCTATGAAACAAAAAGGTTAAGTACTCCAAGCTTTACTAAAACAACTACAATGGAACAAAAAGCGTAATTGTTATTTCTCCTGAAATAAGTTGAGAAACCGTCATCAAATTACAGTACATGCCTGGAAATTCCAATGATTCCGTTCCCACGCTTACATAAAAAAAACAATTGGAAGGGCGAGGCGAGGCGTGTTTATTTGTACAGCAGAGTTAAGACACCGGGAAACTCGAACAAAAAAGGACAGGACACCACAAAATCACACAAGGCATTAAAACGAGATGAATAATCACAGTACATTAAAAAGAGTGAAGCTACAATCCTTCAGTTATCTGCAGCTAAACTGTTTTAACCTGGATTTGAACATTGTCAGAGTAGACGCCTCTCACACGTTTTCAGGTAGACTGTTTCAGATTTTAACTGCATAAATCTGACACGCTGCCTCCTCATGTATAGTCCTGACTCTAGGCACCAGTAGGTACCTCAGAGTCCCAGCAGGAGGCCAGTCCCAGAGCTCCTCAGAGTCCCAGCAGCAGCCCTGAATATAAACTAAAGCAGCTACCCTTTTACAAGTTCCCAAAACAACAACAAACCTCTACAAATTGAATGTGTATAGCTTATGTATGACCATGAAGCTTTGTAATTATAGAGAATTGAATTGCATTGAATTGAGACCAGCTTCTTAGAGTCTGAGTTGGTTCATTTGGGATAGTAACTTCTTTTCATACTTTCGTCCATCTTACTTACACCCTGTTTTCGTCTGGCAGCCTCAGCAGAAACGTCCACACTGTTCCGCTTCTCGGGAACCCCTTCATCTGCCGCCTGGGCTTCCAAGTTTTCTCATTAACAGCATACTCCTGTGTCACGCTCCTGTTCAGAGTCAAAATCGAGTCTCCTCTTACGACCGCGGTGAACAACGAGCCTCTGCTGTTGGCGTAGTGTCCGGGCAGTGACGTCCACTCTCCCGTTCGGAGGTTGTAGCACTCCATCAGGCATCTCAGAAAGTCGTCTGAAGGCCCGTTTCTCATCACGTACAAATTCTCCCCGTGTCCGACCATGCAGTGTCCGTAACTTTGCTTTCTGATCAGCGTTGTGACGATCCGCCAATGGTCCTTGCTCGGGATGTATTCGTAGATCTCTGACGTCTCCATGGGCTTCCAGAGACAAACAAAAAGGCGTCCCAGAGCTTTCGTGCACGCAATGCCCGCTCCAGGTCGAGGCAAATGAGCGGCGAGACTCCATGTGTTTTTCTGGACGTTATATATTTCTACTGAAGATATAGCCACGCGGTGATACTCCCCACCGATGGCGAAAAGTTGACCGTCAAGACCGATCAGGCTGAAGTTGTAGCGTAACTGGTTTGGGCTGGCGATCTCGCTCCAGGTATTCTTCGCGACGTCGAAACAAAAGGAAGCTTCGACGGCCTCTTTGTGAAGTCCCTGAACTCCCCCGACGATGAAAAGAATGTTATCCAAAACAGTCACGCCAGCCAGAGACGTACTCGCCGCTAATGGGAGATCTGTCAAAACTTTCCAGCTATTCACGTTTTCGTCTAGATAGCAGATTGTCCTCGAAGCTTCGTGGTGTGTCCTTTCGTCCGCGCAAGTCACGTGAGCACCAACCGCGGCAAAAGTGCTTGGAGTTAAAGATTCGATGTGAGATACAAGCTCCGTTGGCAAGGTTTTTCTGACCTCTGGCTCAAAATCGCTGTATATGTCTCGTATGAATTGTGCGGCCTTGTTGTATAGCTCCATCAGACCGAACGTCACAGCTGTGTGGTACACCAATAAGCAGTTGTTTGAGTCGATAACGGTGGAAAGATATTTGGTTAGAGGTGAAATTTGAAGAAACGACGCACACTCTATGGCTTCAACAATGTCATCCGCATCCAGAACCGGTTGATGGCCTCGCAAAACTGCCAACGCAATCAAAAATCCTCTGGCTTGAAGACAGCGAAGGTGGATTTCTTCCTGATAGCACTCTTTCATTCCAGAGCGATACAACGCCTGGAAATAGTCGCAACTTTGAACGAGTAGATTCTTTTCTTCCAGGAAAATGGAACCCCCGACGACAAGGGTTAACTTCGAAGGGATTGTGTCAGGATCTGTGACGTCGCCGTTGACCTCCTCTGAAGACATGACCGGTTGGCAGTTTCCAAAAATGTTTGCAATGCTCTTGAAAGACGTCGAGGGAACAGAGGCTCTGAGGCTGCAGGGAGATGAAGCACAGTTGTTTGAGCGTTTTAAAAATAGACGTGGCTAAACATAGTAGTGGACACAAGTGATATCTGTGTTAGAAGGACAGGGCTCGCATTGACAAGAGAGCACTGTGAGGACAAGGGGCTGTAGAGGTCTGCCAACTCAGAAACCACTATGACAGCATCAACGCTCCACTATATTCAGCTTTACTCACCCATAAAACAAAGTTGATTAACTGAGGACAAAAAGCAGTACAAAACAAAACCCACATTCTTTGCTAGTTTTAAGCTTCACTTATTTTGATTGTTTATGCTGACTGTGCAGCGTTTTGTTAACACTGTTTTTGAAAATTACTATACAAATAAACATGTATCACTATTTTTATTTGGCTATTTATATAATGGATATTTTATATTATAGGGATATGGTATTGCTTCACATGGGCTGTATGAAGATACCATATACGTACCTCAATGTTGACTAAAATGGCTCACAGGGAACCTACAGCTGTCACAATGGTCAGATGTCGTGAGGATTATAGTGTTCCTTGTCATACTGATTTTTTTTTTTCTTTTGGGCAACAAACTGGTTCTCTTGGTCAGCACACTCACATGTTACTTGTCGTGCAGAAGTAGAACCATTGCACACCTACAGCACAAGGAGAACCAGGAGAACCAGAACTGGCCAGAGCGCGTCACTTCTGCTAATGTTTGGGACGTCCTGGTGCTAGCATGCGCCAAAGAGCACAAGCCATTAATTTGAACGGGCAGACATCTTGGAGACCTGGGGTTTGGAAAAAAATCTTTGATAGCATTGATTTCAATATATATAGGCTCCATTTCACCACACCTTATTATGCCATTATAAATACTTTTTCTATGTTGTTTCTTTGGTCAATAATCAACACAAAGTATTCAAGCCAAGACAAATTAAAGGTGCAGTATGTAAAAATCTGTATAGCCAATAGCTAGTTTTGTCAACAGCAAATCTATAACCAACACTTTTTAATAATTTGAGAATCATAACAAAACCTTTTTTAGTTCTGCAGCCACATGTTATTTTACCAGTGAGATTAGCTCGAGTTCTGTCAAATCGGATCACGGACCTTCTGATTGGTGAAACGGTGGAGGGCGGGACATCAAAATGAAACCAATAACAAGATTTAGGGGCTGTTAAACTAATTTTGAAATCCAAATATCTCTGATTTACTGTTGTCATTATCAATGCCTTTTGACAGATTAGGGCCCTTTAATGATAAGTTGAAAATCTTACATATTGCCACTTTAAGATAGTCTGTGCCCAACCGAACCAGCCAAACCAGACTCAGAGGAAGCTTACCATGTGAAAAACAATCATTGACCAGTCATTTGAGAATAGTGTTCCCTGTTTGAGTTTGTTCACTTTCATCATTATTGCTGAGTCATTAACCGTTTCTGAGATAAACCAGAGATCACAAGAATGCCCTTTGTGCCATAAAACTGGATATGACCTACCCCAAATCATTGCATGAGTGAATCATCCAACTCAGCCACCGATCAAAGTCACATCTATCAGGAAGGCATTGTGTCACACTGTAGCTGCTTCTTTAGCTGCTCACAAAGTCAACAACAGCTTTATATGGATAGCACATTGACAAGAACACCAGCAGCCGAAAGCGCTTCATTTGCACAAAAGAAGAAATAAGTTAATGAAAAGTTGTGCAAAACAGTAGAACTTAGTTGGTGTTAAAAGCCAAGGTAAAAAATGTGTCTGAGACTAGATTAAAAAGTCTCTGATGCAAAGAGTTGCTTAGATGTATACAGATCAGATTCAGATGCATTTATTCCCTAGTGTGCACAAGACAGGTACATAAAAAAGATAGAAGATAAAAGATAAGATTCTTTATTCGTCCCACAATGGGGAAATTTCAGTTTGATGCATACACATAAACACATCATAAGCAGCGAAAATCACTTACGCTCTCCTTATAGACATAGTGGGTTAAGTGTCTTTCACAAGGACACAACGACAGCAGACATCAGTGGGAATCGGTGGAGAAGGTCTCATGGTGGGCTTCGAACCCACAACCTTCAGGCTCAAAGTCTCCGTCGCCCCAAAACAAACAGAACCGTAAACAATTGACACTGTGAGATGAGATCGGTCGACTAAACCAAACTAAATAAACTATTCCACAGTTTGGGAGCAGCAGGAGCCAAGGCCCGGTCTCCTCTGGTTTTGAGACGAGACCTGGCAACATTCTACAGCTGGTTTTCTGACCTCACTGATCTGACAGGAGCAGACAGATGTGCAGGGTCTACGCCATTTTTAGTGGCACCTGAAATTATTTATTATTATTATTGCAGTAACTTGCAGCATCGATGGTAATGGGATACTCTGGCATTTTAAACTTCATTTTAAAGGTTATTTATTTTACTATATGGAAAGAAACCGATTGAATCTGTAATTAGAAGTCAAGTTAGGCCCAAGATTTATTTTTCTATATTTAACTCATTTTCCATATTTAACTATGAATCGATGAAAAAGAAAGGAGAAAGGGATTGAATTGAAACCTACAAGAAAATAATATCTAGCCAAATTGCACAAGATTACAGTATATTCAGTACTATTAGCTCAGCAGTTCATTGTACAGTCTGACAGCAGCAGGAAGGCAAGACCTGCAGAACCTCTCCTTCACACAGCATAAATGAATAAGTTTGTAGAAAAAGCTGGTGGAAGCTTGCTTTAATAACTGAATTTATTTAGCTTACAATCAAACCCCAAGTGACGTTTCGACATATGGTAACCCGGGATATCTCACACAGGTGAACGCTGCAGAGGTCTTTCTTAACTAATCAAAGCAAAGTGTGATAATCTGAATCCTTGTCTTGTCATCCTTGTGTTCAGCTGAGTGCCTTTGACTGTAATCTCACCTCACTGAAGCGTGGACCCCATCTGCTTCTTGAACATGTACAGTAAGTGCATGTGGGGGGAGGGGGAGGTGTAAGAGCTGACCTATATGTGGACTGACATAATACAGCCGGCCTACAGTATGTGACGCATGCGCAAAAGTTTTTCTCAATTTCCCTTCCGGCTCCTATAGACTACAACTTGTTTACTGCTTTCTATGATCCTGGGGTTTATGTTTTGATATTGTTTTTGGAAATTAAGATATGAGCTATACAAGAAGTGACCAATCAGATGCCTTCATTCACGGAGGAAATTCCAGCTTTCCTTAGCAACCATGTTAGCAACCAGCCTGACCCTGTTACGGCCCAAAGCTATTGGCGTCGGAACAAATATATAAGAACATTGGCTCCTGCTAGGTGATGTTCAAATTGGCTAGTTCCAACTTCCCACCTGGGTAAATGGAAATCAAGCCTGTTAACTTGGAAACTGGAAAACTTGGCGTGAGACTAGGCTGAGGTCAATTGGTCTCTGAGTTCCAGTTTTAGGTTTTACTTTAAAATAAACATATGTAAGATTTATTTGTTTTATTTAGAATTATATCTATTGAGTTTAGGGCACAAATGCTTAGCAGTAATATCCAAGATTGTCTTTCTTAATTTTCCTTACGTTTTATTATAAGGATAATTAAGGAAATGTTCTCCTGTATCATTTCATATCATAGCAGAGGTGGTTTCTGTGCCTTTGAGTGGACGAGCAGAGAGAATACAGGTTTGCATATGTAAAGTACGTTGTAAATAAAACGAATTATTGTTGTGTGTTTGCGTGCGAGCGAGTGTGCGTGCGTGCGTATGCGTGTGTCACCACCGTCACCAGCTCCTCATGAACGCTCGGATTTTGGGAACTCGGAAGATCACGTTGCAATCTCTGATTTTCCAAGAAATGCAAGCATATACGGTCTATGGGGTGATTTGTCATGCATGTCTACTGATGGTAATTTAGACTAAAATCATTGTAGACCTAATCAAAACAATAAAACGGACATTTTTACCCCAGATTTACGCATTATTATAAGGAGCGACCCTAAACTGGGAATAATTCATGTATTATTCGCTGTTAAATATATGTATATTTGTTAGATTGTGCATTAGTGAATACAGAATCTATACACACGCCCACTCTCTTATATTAGATTGATTTGAGCTCATTATTGTCCTGACAAATACAAAAACCGCATCACGACATCGTCTCCCCGCGCTGTTTTTACTACAACAAAATAGTCCCTAACGTTCGTCGCCCGCTTGCTTCTGCTGCTCAATTTAAACCGGATTAAACGCTAACCAACCGATCATACGATTATATTTATTCCATTCGCACGTTAATTCCGATCATATATTTGCATTTTGAAGCATCTCTGTCCAATGTTTTGGGGAAATGCAGCGGAAGGATACCAGCCTCAATCACAACATTGGTTTTAAACAGCGGCGGTGCGTCGTGCGGCTGTTCCCTCTCCTTCGGCGTGAGCAACATGGCTTCGAATTTCGGACATTCTCGCCACGTTTTCACATCTGCATCCTAGCTATTTTATCGCCTCTTCTTCCCGTGTACATAACAGGAGCGTTTCCCCGGTGTTTGAGACAGCATGCTGCTCTCAAAACTGGGTTCTTTCCCCCCCATCGCAACCAGCATGGATCTACCGGCGAAGCTCCATCTGCAGCAGCAAGGTAAGACCGGTGCTTATGCTTTCAAATGTGATCGTGTGGAAATAATTGCCATGCTTTGTTTTAAAACTCATATTCGATGTTGAAAACGCATCCATTCTGATTGTATAACCGCTCGATGCTTTTTAAATGGTGAAAATCGCTTGTGTTGTCGTGCGTGTTCAAAAAAACGTGGCCGCCCTGCTGTCTGTGCGTCAACCTCACGTGGGTTAAAATCTTGTTATATTTTGAATCACCGTCTTTTTCACTTGTTATAATTAACGCTATTCCTTGTTATAAGTCTATCCATACGTGTGATTTCATACAACCTACCACGACGATGCTGCTTTTACGTCGCCTAAATACGTCCAACCACGTTTTGTTTATATCACGAAACTGGCGCGCCCTCTTTTTTTTTTTTTTTTTTTACGCGGGAGCACGTTAAAGGCATTTAAATGTATTATTGAAATGTATCGCTTGTGTGTTTGTAAGTGTGTGTATCGCAGTTTTGATTGCGTGTTTTGACGTGGAAATGTATGTTAGATTAGCGGACTAGTCGGTCGCAGCTCGATGTCGTTGTTGTAGTAATAGAAGTCTAGTAGTTGTGCAATTGTGCCAATACATTAATAAAGGGAAAAACTGCATATATACACAATTCGAAATAGGTGTAGAAGTAAAAGTTATGTTTCCTACCCTTTATTGCATGCTTTCTACAAGAGTGCAAATGATTTTATTTATATTTACAGTCAGAACTTAATGAAAAATCGGATATTTTTTCTCATATATAATTGCCACTCGTTTCCATAAATATAATAAAGACACAATTTTAAAGGCAGATTTAACACCACCAATGATATTCAGGGGTCTTGTTGTGAGTCACGTAGGTTACGCTGGCAGCTTAACCACATGGCGACCTGAATGCGCACGTTCTACCAGCATGACTGTCCTCTGACCGTTTTCTTGTTTGTTGTTGTTTTTTTTCCCCCCCGCAGCAAAAACAGAAAGGCTGCCATTTGAGAAGCAGTACCGGCTCGGAGCGGTGCTGGGAAGTGGAGGATTCGGGACTGTTTACTCCGCGGTCCGTGTGGCTGACGGGGCACCGGTGAGAGCTTTTGTTTTGGTCCCCAGCGCGGCCACATGGTTTCGGGGAAGGGCGTCAAATTACCAAGCACAAAGAGCCGCCATGTTTACCGGCCGGGAATTCCTTTGAAAGCAAGACCCGGTGGGGGGGTGGGGATAATGTTTGCCCTGGCATGGATTCGAGCTACTGTAATAACAAGATACAAGATAAGGGGATTTTTGATGTAACAAAGTGGTGCCATTGTTTTCTTGTTTACATGTTTTGTATTTTGCATCTGTTACAACACGAACATATTTTTCATCTCCATCAAATAATTAACTATTTGTTTTCTGTGTTTTCAGGTGGCTGTGAAACATGTTTGTCGAGACAGAGTGACTGACTGGGCCACTCTGGTGAGGACATTATTGCTTTTTTTAATCACACATATAGCCATTATGTACACTAAATATTATAGTATTTGGGTTGTCTGTTCATTCTGTAATATATAGATTTGAATACATAATTATACAGGTAATCGTGTGTTCTGTATATCGGCTGAATTGAACTGCAGCATTTACGCATCAAAGCGTTCAATGTATTTGAAGGATACGCCCCGTGACACCGACCGTATCGTTTTCAAGCGGCTTCTTGTCCGCGGCTCAGCAGTGCCCTCTGTTGGATAGTTCTGACGTTTCAATAGAATGAATAGAAATGGCAATGAGACTATACAGAGTTGCTAGAATTGAGAGAAATGGAAGATGGAGATAGAATTGTGTGGAAAGAATCTTGGTGTTTGTATACATTTATTGATTGACTGCGGAACCTTCCGCAGTCAACCATTGGTTTTGTATTTCTTTATTCCGTCATTTTTTTTGACACGTTTCACAGCTTTCACATTTTCAACAATTTCCACAAGTTATACATCAAAACGTTCCACATGTTTGGGAGATTATTGCTATTACTTTTGGGACTTCAGCGATTTCCGGTTTTTCCGCAATCGGACAAAAATCTGCATTGAGAATTCTGCAATGCATTTTAATAGGCCCATGCATTTTAATAGGACTTCAGCTCTTTCAGACATTTCTACAGTTTCAATGATTCAACAGTTTCAAGGATTCAACAGTTTCAAGGATTTCAGCAGTTTCAAGATTTCAAGAGTTTCAAGGACTTCAACAGTTTCAAGGACTTCAGCAGTTTCAAGGACTTCAGCAGTTTCAAGGACTTCAGCAGTTTCAAGGACTTCAGTGTAATTATGCAACCTAATAGGGATTTTTCCATGTAAACCAGTATAATGCAACTTAATAGGGATTTTTCCATGTAAACCAGTATAATGCAACTTAATAGGGTTTTTTCATGTAAACCAGTATAATGCAACTTAATAGGGTTTTTTTTCATGTAAACCAGTATAATGCATCTTAATGGGGATTTTTCCATGTAAACCAGTATAATGCAACTTAATAGGGGTTTTTACATGTAAACCAGTATAATGCAAATTAATAGGGTTTTTTCCATGTAAACCAGTATAATGCAACTTAATAGGGATTTTTCCATGTAAACCAGTACAATGCAACTTAATAGGGATTTTTCCATGTAAACCAGTATAATGCAACTTAATGGGGATTTTTCCATGTAAACCAGTATAATGCAACTTAATGGGGATTTTTCCATGTAAACCAGTATTATGCAACTTAATAGGGATTTTTCCATGTAAACCAGTATAATGCAACTTAATAGGGATTTTTCCATGTAAACCAGTATAATGCAACTTAATGGGGATTTTTCCATGTAAACCAGTATAATGCAACTTAATAGGGGTTTTTACATGTAAACCAGTATAATGCAACTTAATAGGGTTTTTTCCATGTAAACCAGTATAATGCAACTTAATAGGGTTTTTTCCATGTAAACCAGTACAATGCAACTTAATAGGGATTTTTCCATGTAAACCAGTATAATGCAACTTAATGGGGATTTTTCCATGTAAACCAGTATAATGCAACTTAATGGGGATTTTTCCATGTAAACCAGTATTATGCAACTTAATAGGGATTTTTCCATGTAAACCAGTATAATGCAACTTAATAGGGATTTTTCCATGTAAACCAGTATAATGCAACTTAATGGGGATTTTTCCATGTAAACCAGTATAATGCAACTTAATAGGGGTTTTTACATGTAAACCAGTATAATGCAACTTAATAGGGTTTTTTCCATGTAAACCAGTATAATGCAACTTAATAGGGTTTTTTCCATGTAAACCAGTACAATGCAACTTAATAGGGATTTTTCCATGTAAACCAGTATAATGCAACTTAATGGGGATTTTTCCATGTAAACCAGTATAATGCAACTTAATGGGGATTTTTCCATGTAAACCAGTATTATGCAACTTAATAGGGATTTTTCCATGTAAACCAGTATAATGCAACTTAATAGGGATTTTTCCATGTAAACCAGTATAATGCAACTTAATAGGGTTTTTACATGTAAACCAGTATAATGGAACTTAATAGGGGTTTTTACATGTAAACCAGTATAATGGAACTTAATAGGGGTTTTTACATGTAAACCAGTATAATGCAACTTAATAAGGATTTTTACATGTAAACCACTATAATGTAACCTAATAGGGGTTTTTACATGTAAACCAGTATAAAGCAACTTAATAGGGATTTGTACATGTAAACCAGTATAATGCAACCTAATAGGGATTTTTCCATGTAAACCAGTATAATGCAACTTAATAGAGATTTTTCCATGTAAACCAGTATAATGCAACTTAATAGGGATTTTTCCATGTAAACCAGTATAATGCAACCTATTACGGATTTTTCCATGTAAACCAGTATAATGCAACCTAATAGGTTGCATTATACCACCAGACCAAGACCCAAACGAAGACTCAGACCACCACCAGATAATGACCACAGACCAGGTTTCCTTAGTTACAGGAACCAAATTGTTTCAGCGGTGAGGGGATTTTTCAGTTTCAAGGACACTTTCAATACATTCAGTAGTTTCAAGGATTTCAACTGTTTAAGAATTTAACCAGTTTCAAGGATATCAGGAGGTTCAAGGATTTCAGGAGTTTCCACACTTTCAACAGTTTCCAGGTTTAAAAAAGTTTCAAGGATTTCAGGAGTTTCAATGTTTCAACAGTTTCAAGGATTTCAGGAGTTTAAAGGTTTCAACAATTTCAAGGACTTCAGGAGTTTCAAATATCTATCAAGTATTTTAACAGTTTCAAGGCCTTTTAAAGGATTTCAAGGATTTTTTTTAGCAGATTTCCACATTAGATCTGTTCCGCAGTCAATCGCAATGGCTTCAGCCATTGCAAGTTTCTAGTTACACTTATTATTTCTTATCTTTTTTCTTTTCCGAATCAATATTTAACTTTTTGAGCGTAATGTACCAATAAATGGTTCAACAATTTCTTTTAAAAAATGGAGACGTTTTGATATGAGGTCTGCCCATTCAGATCAATGCATTGGTTCTACTTCCGCAGTACCAGAAAACTGCTGGATTTCAAAAGGAAATAAAGTTCGGAATGATGAGAAAAACTTAAATCCCAACAAGACTGAACCTTTGTGAAAGCCGTAGGTTCCCTGTCAGCTATTTTACTTATTATTGAGGTCTATGGAAAATCTCCTGGACAGCCAATGTCGACTTAGGTTGTAGTACTTCTTGTCCATTTATAGATAGAAGGGCTCTTTATTGATCCCTCCATAGGAGCTATTCAGGTGTTCAGTAGCAGCAGAAACACATCCAACCATACAAATACATAATACTAAAAGTCGCACGGTCTGTGCAGATGGGTTTAGGCAGCAACAAGCTCCATATAACTTCATACTTATTTGTGGTAGAGACATAAATGTACATGTTGTAATAGTCAGTTTCTCGTTCCATTCAGACCAGCGGAGTGGTGCCTCTGGAGATCGTCCTGTTGGAGAAGGTGGGCGCAGGCTTCGGGGGTGTGGTGCAGCTCCTGGACTGGTGGGAACGTCAGGACGGCTGGTTGTTGGTCATGGAGCGTCCCGAGCCGGCTCAGGACCTGTTTGACTACATCACAGAGCGGGGCACTCTGGAGGAGGACGTGGCCCGCGGGTTCTTCCTGCAGGTTCTGAAGGCCGTGCAGCATTGTTTCAGCTGCGGAGTGGTTCACAGAGACATTAAAGACGAGAACCTCCTGGTGGATTTACGGACTGGAACACTCAAACTGATAGACTTTGGCTCGGGGGCGTTCCTGAAAGACTCTGCATACACTGACTTTGATGGTGAGATTTGTGCCCGGCATTTCATTTGGTCGCAAACGTCATGTTTTTGGGAATTTTATTTTCACACTGTTGTATCATGATTTCAAGTGTTTTTTAAAATGGGATATTCTTTAAGTCATTGGGTTTCCCCTTCATTTAACATTTGGTCGCCAAATGCCCCCTGTGAAATTGTACCTATGATTAAGTATTTATATAAAAATACATGGAAAAAATACACAATATTCCTAACCAGACCTTTGCCCTTGCTCACTCACACTAAATCATACACACAAAATCCCCCCCCATATACACACGCGCACACAAAATCACTCTCATGCACATACACGAACACAAGCATACGTCTTTCTGAATTTGTTCATGTGAGGTCATGTACAAAGAGACCAATTTATATAATAATAATGTTTATAAGCGTGAATAACACACGTCTTGTCTCTCCGCAGGCACTCGCGTTTACAGTCCCCCAGAGTGGATCCGGTTAAAGCGCTACCACGGCCCGTCCGCCACAGTCTGGTCTCTGGGCGTCCTGCTGTACGACATGGTGTGTGGAGACATCCCGTTCGAGCAGGACGAGGAGATCCTTCGCGGGCGCGTTATTTTCCGAGGCAAAGTGTCTCAAGGTCAGTACTTTATCTGTATTTATTTAACTAATCAAAGGCACGTAAGATAAGGCCCTTTATTCATCTCTCGGTGCAGAACAGAAGAAATGGGCCCATGTCAAACAAGATAATTCTATTATTCAGGATAACAAATGGATAATAAACTAGCTGTAATTGCACTCGGGACACAGCCCTATACAAATGAGAACGCTTATTCAATTTATTCATGTCTCGCCCTAAATTACAACAGCAGGCCTCTGAGGACTTTACAAACAGATCAGGGACTCAAACATGGAACAGGAAATGCAATAATAACAAATGCAGAGGAGTCATTGGTCTGAAGTGAGAGCGGGATGACCCATGTTCATAAATGTTAAATGACCTGCATCATTACTGCCCCCAAATTAAAACTGTGAGAAACTTATGACACGATAATCGCAGTCAGGGTTTCACAGTAGTATTCACACATGGATCATATTGTACATCTTGGAATACTTCCCCTTTAAATCTTGTACGTTATTTGCATGATTCTAATCGTTGTCCTTTCTCCCACAGACTGCCAGCAGCTGATTAGTTGGTGTTTGAATCTCCAGCCGACAGAAAGGCCGTCCCTGGAGCAGATCCTGGTCCATCCGTGGCTCACAGGATCCAAGTGCCACCAAACAGAGAGCTGCGACATCACACTGCACACGCTGGAAGACCCCTCTACCTCCCCTTCGTCTACCTCATCGAGCCAGGACAGTCTCTGACCCGGCGTCGGACATAAATGCACAAACGAGGATTCCAACGTGCCTTTACTTTCAATCCGTTAAACTGTGTTAGAATTTTTGAAGAAGATTGTTACTGTTTTTGAAATGTTTTGTACCTTTGTTAAACGCACAGTCAATGCAAACATATTTTTTTACAATTATTTAGTTACTTTTTATGTGTATATTTTGGTACAATTTCTTTATTTATTACGTATGATTATCAGTGAGAATTTCTGTTTACTCCTGAAGCTGACAAATAAATGTTTAGGGAAAAGTTGAAAGCTGTCTTCTAGTTTTGTAAATATAGAATGTTTGGTTATTTTTTCATGGAAATATTTTTTAACTGAATGTTCAGTATAAAATATGAAAAATACCGACGTGTGATGGTTCTTTGATTCAAATGGATCTTCTCTAAAGCCACATTCCATGAGCCTACGTGGATGCATACAACCCTAGTGTTTAGTACTTTAAGGCAGATCAATGTCTATTCTCATAAACGTTAAACATGCAGCACACAAGGATTGAAGCTGGTCTCTAGATGAACGTTAAAACTGCTACTCCAATAGGGAAGTGCGAATGGATGCAGGTTTTGCTCCTATTCCAAAAGGTAAACTCGTCTCCCTCAGTAATTGAACACTCACCATTTTGAGCTTTTAAAAGCGTATAAGTGCTCTGTTTACTCCTATTATTTTTTTGATAGTCTTTGTGAATCCAGATATGAGCCAATCAGATGCCTTCATTGGCGGCATGTGATTGGAGCTGGTGGAAACGGCTTTTTATGATACGAGGCAGCTCCAGATTTGAAAGTTGATATCTTTTCAAAGTGTTTTTCATATCAACATGAAAAAGGTGTCACATGGGAACCCAATAATGAGAAATGAGAACCTTTGCATGATCCAGAGTGATTGAAATTGCAGTGTAGACATGCACATACTTATATTTCTTTACTAAGTTCGAGATTTTATTTTAGTGTAGAGTTATTGTTCACTTCTCTTGTGACGTGTGCTCCTCATTCCTACAGTTCTGTAACTGGAGATGCAACACTGACATTTTCCCACTGGAACAAATAAAGGATCTCTCAATCTAAATACAAGACAGTAGTAAGAGCAGACAAGAAGCACACAAATAATGCATGGATAAGTAGATGTAAATGCTTATAAAATATGGCTTAAGGGGCTCAAATAACCCACAGTTCTATCACACCAAAAGTAAATTTCCCACTGTTCTATTATGACAGAACCCAAACATGATTCATAAATGTTCATTTTGTCTTGAGTTAATGTTTTTTTTTTGGTTTATTCGAAAGACAATGTTCTTAAGAAGGTAATACATCTAAACTTGTCTTTAAAAAGAACCAAAAGAACAGCGAACCCAAACATGTTTTATTTATTTTTTGATCAGGCAGAGGGCAGGGCAGCTGTATAGAGGTCCTTTCATTATCAACACTTGCGGCTCGGGTTCTGTTAGCTATAATAACGTGAGTAGGATGCCTTATTTACGTCATAATAAACCAGTATTTTACCTTCATATATACCTGATAATAATAACATTTTACAGTGTTGTGGGGCGTGTATTAAAACAAATCACTGATCCGTGTGGTTAGCCGTCACCATGTGCTAAAAGTTCACGAAGCTAGCGTTACTTACCACTGCCAGAAGTACTTACTCGAAATAGATAGTGTCCTTTTTCTGGCGTTTATGACACTCTTTTCAGATCAAGGCAATGCAAGTGTATTTGTATAGAACAGTTCATACACATTGCATAACTCAGATTGCATAATAAAAACAATCACACAATGCATTCAAATCATACATTTTCACAGTGCATTAAAAAGTGTGAAGATAAAATCCCTCAGTTGTATGCACAGCTCCACAGAACTGTTATTACCCTGGATTTTAACATTGTAGAATTCTGTCTTACATTTCTAGGAAAACTGTTCCAGATTTGAGCAGTAATCTAAAAATGCTGCCTCCCCATGTTTAGTTCTGACTCTGGGCACCAGCAGGAGGCCAGTCCCTGTGCTCCTCAAAGTAGATTCATACTAACTGCGAGGCCATGGAGAGATTTGTAACACTTTATTAGTCTATTCTCTGAGCCACAACAAGCCAGTGCAGAGACCTGAGAACTTGACTAATGCGGTTGTAATGTGGTTTGTTCCACAGTTGGGAAATATGTTGTAAGGACCCAAGCATGAATCTGTAAAAGTGCAAGAATATCAAAGTCATATATTGAAGTTATCAGTCGTTAGCTCTGAGTGTTCAAATATTCACAGTGATGATAGTACCGTTAATGTTTTGTGTTGTTACTGACTATTATAACCGCAGTAGAGGCATGGTTCTACCCAGACAGTAATAATGTGACTGTTATAAAGTTTGTCCAGGAAGTGAAGAAGATGGGTCGATCTTCCAAAGACAAGAGGGACATTTATTATCGTTTAGCCAAAGAGGAAGGTTGGCGAGCCAGGAGCGCCTTTAAACTGCTCCAACTGGACCAAGAGTTCAATTTGTTCACAGGTAAAAGTACCAATGTCATGTTTAATAGTGTTTTTTATAGCCATTTTAAATCTTACACACACACACAAAAAGAAGTTTTGCCAACACAGATCAGAGAATCAAACCATTCAAAAACAAGAAGACAAGACAAACAGAATAGTGAAAGAAAATGAATTAAAAAACAAACATTGGCCCATACAAACAATAGAATTTTTCACTTTAAAATACAAATGCCCGTTTAATATCTCCAGTCTAGTCTGATATATTTTCAGTCCAACACACATTAAGAAAAGTTCCCAAGTCTCTCGAAAGACCTCGTCCCTGGGATTCAACCGACAAGTCAAATGGTCAAGGGAAATGTAGCTGAAAATAGTTCTGTGCCACTGTGTCCTTGTGGGAATTTGATCCGAAAACCAGTTAACCAGAAAACACTTCCTGACTCAAAAAGTAAGCATTCGATACAATTTATTATGGTGTGTGTATTTGACAACAGGGTCAGTTAATCCAAGCAATAAAAACAAAGAGTTACATTTCAAATTAAAGTAGTAATATGTAAGATTATCACTTCAAGTCATCATTAAATGGCTCTAATCTGTCAAAAAGCATTAATAAACAATGTTCTTTTCCATTACTTCTTTAGTATTAGTAACAGTAGTAACTAAAAGTTGTTCAGAGATATTTGAATTTCAAAATTGGATTTACAGCCCCTAAATCTTGTTATTTGTTTACCAATCAGAAAGTCCGTGATCCGGGATGCCAGAACTCACCGTGTCGAGCTAATCTCACTGGTAAAGTAACATGTGGCCACAGAACTAAAAAAAGGTCTCTCTGTGATTCTCAAATCATTAATGACAAAACAAGGAACAAAACAAGGATTTCTATCGGGGCCTTTGTGAAAAAAGTGTTTGTTTTAGATTTGTTGTTGACAAAACTCTTGTATATTCAGATATTATGGTGCCAGTTGGATTCTGTGCATATCTGGCAACCTGAGTCAGGGAGAGTGGGAGAGGACTTCAGAATATTGACTGTGATTGCAGTACCACTTTTGGCCAGATTTTTACATATTGCTCCTTTTAATATAAATCATTTTTTCCACTTCCTGCCCAACCATTTGCCAGAAATGTACTTTTTTACAAGACCAAAAGCAGTGTGTAAGGATGCCAATCTTAACTTTACACTTCAAACAGCTTTGACATTGTTGTGAATAACTGAAATCTTGTCATGGACAGGAGTGAACCGAGCCGTGGATCTGTGTGCGGCTCCTGGCAGCTGGAGCCAGGTCCTCAGTCGGAAACTCAGGTGGGATCTGCGACAAAGCACAACAGCGATTCAACAAGAAGCCATCGCGAGTATGATGCATTTTTTTCCTCTTTTTTTTTTTTCTCTTAGAGGTCAAGAAGAAAACGCTGAAGCAGAAGTAAAGATTGTGGCTGTCGACCTCCAGGCGATGGCTCCTCTTCCTGGAGTCACTCAGATTCAGGGAGACATCACAAAGGTCATTTCAGTACTTGTAGGACTATAAGGGGCGACAGTGGCTCAGTTGGTAGAGCATTGGCCTTTGAGCCTGAAAGTTGTGGGTTCAAGCCCTCCACAAGACTTTCTCCACCGACTCTTACTGATGTCTGCTGTCGTTGTGTTCTTGGCAAGACACTTAACCTCTGGGAACACCTCATGCCACAGTGGGGCGGCTGCGGCTGTAAAGTGCCACACTGCTGTTGTGTCCTTAGGCAAGACACTTCAACCCCATTGCTTAGAATGAGTGTGGTGTGTGTGTGAATGGTTGGTGGTGGTCAGAGGGGCAGATGGCACAGACTGGTTGCCTCGCTTCTGTCAGTGTGCCCCAGGGCAGCTGTGGCTACAGTAGTAGTTTATCACCGTGTATGGAGTGAAAGAATAAATGTGAAGCGTCTTTGAGTGTCCAAAAAAAGCACGGTTTATGGTTCGGTTTTTATTTTTACAGAGACCGTGTACAATAGACATTAGCTAAGAACAGAGATGAATTGTACCAGGGTGTAGTTTCGAGAAACGAAGACAAGGTAGTGGCAATTGCAGTCTTACACGGTTTATTTTCGAGTCCCTCCAGATCGATCAAGAGGAGACGAGCCTTTTTATATGATTTGTGCCAATGTTCATAAGAACAGAGACGTCATGATTGAGATATTAATGATGCATGCCTAAGATATAGATGCTGTAGTAACAATGTATCAGAACAAATACGTTCAGTCCTTCAGATAATAATGTTTAGCAGTATGTTTATGCAGATATAACAGGCGTCCACAGTACAGAATATGCTGGTCAGATTACACAGTAGCAGCAGTGCTAATTTACACCTGTAATCCCTGAGCAGGTTGTTGTAAAACAGTCAAATAAAAGTAGATGGATTGGATACATTACCAGACACTATCAGGCAGAAATTACTATTTACTTTATGATAAAACCACCCAGCCCCCATTTTCCCTTTATCTCAATACATGCATTCATATAATTACAAGCTGCTACTTCCTTACAAGTTTTTGTAAACCAGTGTTCCCCGACCTTTTTGAGCCGTGGCACAACTTTCATTGAAATCAACCTTTATTAACAATGCAAACTCCACTGCTTGTGTTTCCATTCTGATCTGGCACAACAAGAATCAAACTGAACAAATAAATAAAAATAACTGTAAACACTGGTTCATAAGGGGCAGATGACCATAAGTGTTGATAAATATCCATAAATGTTGTTGAATATTAAAGACCTTATGACGGGTTTAATAAAAAAAAATAGTGGATATCAAAATTGCATGACAATGTCAATTTAAAAGAGATTCCGGCAAAAAAAATCCTATATTTTATAAAAAGAACGTGTTTTTCATGAATTTAAGCTGTCTATGCTCTAACCTGTGTGTGACGTCATAGCGGGTTACGCCCATGCATTGAAAACCATGGATCTATGCCACAGGACTGCCTTTTCTCTCTTCTCTCCACTGATGCCCAACACAATACTGCCCTCTACAGGTGACAATTGCTCACTACACATAAATTGTCGTTTTGAGTGTGAAAAAGTGTCTGAGGTGGGATTTGAACCCAAGTATCTGGATTGGCAGTGCATCAACACAACCACTGGACTATCTCAGTGCCAACAAAAAATCACAATCTAGTATTTATTTCACACTCGCTGTACACGGCCTTGTCATCTTGAATATCCGCAAAAAAAGAACAAATACCAAATTGTAAACAACTTACAGCGTTGAAACGTACCCACTCTGACGTCACCAAGGGCTGTGAAGTTTTTTCGTCTCTAAGGGCGTTGCTATGGGGTTATTTCGATTTGGGGGGATCAGACAAAAAAAACAACAACTGATTTTGAAACCTTTAGTAGTTCTCTTCTAATATAAAATGGTATTAAAACTGTATTTCTAAATAAATCAAACCCGTCATAAGGTCTTTAAAGGAGCTATACCAGTTTCTGCAAGTTTTTTTTCAGTTTGAATGTTTCGCTCTCATTCCACGAAGCCATCTAGTTTTATTTACGATCTGATACATATGCTAACATTAGCAATAGAGAAACTTCTTGTAAGCTGAAGTTTACTGAAAGATTAACGCTAGTTCCACGCCCGAATGTAGTCCGAGCATAGATAGTCCGAGCGTAGATAGTCCGAGCATAGATGGTCCGAGCATAGATGGTCCGAGCATAGATGGTCCGAGCATAGATAGTCCGAGCATAGATGGTCCGAGCATAGATAGTCCGAGCATAGATGGTCCGAGCATAGATGGTCCGAGCATAGATGGTCCGAGCATAGATGGTCCGAGCATAGATGGTCCGAGCATAGATAGTCCGAGCATAGATGGTCCGAGCATAGATAGTCCGAGCATAGATGGTCCGAGCATAGATGGTCCGAGCATAGATGGTCCGAGCATAGATAGTCCGAGCATAGATGGTCCGAGCATAGATAGTCCGAGCATAGATGGTCCGAGCATAGATAGTCCGAGCATAGATGGTCCGAGCATAGATGGTCCGAGCATAGACAGTCTAAGCGTAGATAGTCCGAGCATAGATAGTCCGAGCATAGATAGTCCGAGCATAGATAGTCCGAGCATAGATAGTCCGAGCATAGATAGTCCGGGCGTAGATAGTCCGAGGCGGTCCCGCAGGTCTCTCCCATAGACAAGTCTCTCCAGAGGATACGATGTAAGCTAGCTATGATCACCAGGGTTTGATTTCTTCTTTGATCATGTTTTCGCTTTAGTTCTCTTCTCTTCTTTACTGTTGTGTCGTTTGGGCTGTTTTGCTGTGTCTGCAGTTACAGCCAGAGGAGTTATAGCCACTTATGCTAACATGCTACTGTGTTTAGCAGCGCTGTAGAGGCTAGAGGACGCAGCCTTGTTCTGTGATTGGAGGAGAGCGGGCGTCACGCTAAAGTCTCTACTCAGCACTTTTTTACGGCCTGAATTCATACACAGCTGAATCAATGAACTCAAGTTTTCAATTGAATTACGGATTATAATACAACTTGTATGTAGTAATAAGCATTTTTATGAACTCATTAGAAATAAAAATTGAGTATAGCATCTTAAGTGTCCTGGATCATCACCAGACCCTCCTAGGACCTTGTGTAGTGACCTAACCCGTCCACATTCTTCAGATATCTACTGCAGAGGAGATTATTCGACACTTCGAGGGCCACCCTGCTGATCTGGTCATCTGTGACGGAGCCCCTGACGGTCAGACGACTTCGCCTTGATGCTCGTGTGTTTAACTCAACAACGTTTTATAACCTAATCTCTTTTTTTTTTTTTGCTCTCAGTAACTGGCCTTCATGACGTGGACGAGTACATCCAGGCTCAACTTCTCTTGGCAGTGAGTAAATGATTGTGTGAACTGGATTGTAGTCTTTCACTCGAAACCAGGGAAGGATTTTTCACCAGTGGCTGAGTGGTTAGCGCTCTCACTTCTCAGTAAGAAAGTCTTGGGTTTTATTCCACATCCAGGCCATAGACTAAATATTAGAAGTGGACTGACCGAGTGCTAACATGACTACAGTGTTAGCCTTAATGCGGAAGAAGCTAATTTGAACAAAGGCTAGCTGGAGTCTATTTCCTTATATGTGTCTTTGTATTGTCTTTTATATGAACCTTGAGTCTGGAATAAAGATCATTATTATTTATTATTAGATCATACTGCTTCCAAGAAAAAAAGCCCTGCTCAAAACCAGACATAAAACTATGCTGCTAACAAGTTATTAGCTTAACCACAACAGAAATTGGCTGAACATTGGCTCAAGTAACAACATGTTTCAGTCCGCAGCGAAGAGGCCGTGTTTATCTTTCTAGTTACAGCCCAGATCGACCTTTTGTCTAGTTTCCTTGAAGCCTGTCGGTTGCTTCACATCTGTGCGTAATTGTTTCACAGGCTTTAAACATCACAACACACGTGCTGAAAAGAGGAGGGACATTTGTAGCAAAAGTAAGTTTAAGGCTTCAGTATGTTTATGGAAATGTTCTTGCATTTACTCTTAAAATAAACCCAACTAACTCTGATTGTCTGTGTCTCAGATTTTCCGAGGGAAGGACGTCACATTGCTATATTCTCAG